AAATTACCTGAAAGACGGGGGAAATGTGTAGCTAGCAATGGACATTACTTTGAATAAAGCACTTTTGATGTTTCTCTTGAAATTACCGTGTTTTCTTTGATTACAAAATCCCCATTATTAACTGGTACACCTGGAAAAGGCTAATATGCAAGTCAACCAAACGGCCGAACGACCAGTCGCTATGACGCGCACTGACCACTAGGGGCCAGATGCTCAATGCAGGAGCTGACCCCTGCTGGTCAGTGCACTCCCACAGGGGGAGCACCGCTCAGCCAGAAGCTGGGCTCACGGCTGGTGGTGGCGGTGGCAGGAGCCTCTCCCGCCTCTGTGGCAGCACTAGGATGTCCCACTGTCAGACATCCCCCGAGGGCTCCCTGACTGCAAGAGGGTGCAGGCCAGGCTGAGAGACATCCTCCCCACTGAGTGCATGAATTTCGTGTACCCGGCCTCTAGTGCTTTCATAATTGTTGGTTGCAGAGCTCAGTAATTACATGTAACACTTTATTGGTACCTATTGGGGATGGAGGGTAAAAGGGTCAGGTTGGTATTATATTTGTACTTAAAAGAATGATGATGATTGAAAGGAGAATTGCCACAGTGATGATTATAATCTTTTTGAGGTGTTGCCACCATATCTTCCTAAGAATCTTTATTGTTTCTTGGGAGTCTTTGGCCTGAAATAAAAAAAACACACAAATTTAATGTTTCCATGTCTGAATTAGTGGGCACTCTCAAATACTTAGAGATATCTAAAAGAACAGATTTAATGTGGTTTTGATCAATCCCATAAAGTCTCAATGGAGCTTAACAAAACTGCTTTTATAAAATGATGCACCAAGATTCCAGGTGCCTTCCTTATTGTGTTAAGCCATTCTTTAATTAGTTTTACTAATTTTGTGACTATGAACAAGTTACTAACCCTTTGAGCCTCAGTTCCTCATCTTTACTTCATGATTTTATTTAAATGCCACTATCTCTTACTACCTTATTTAAAATTGGTACCTCCCCCCCCCCCAAGTCTCCATTCCAGAAGTGCTATTCCCCTTCAGTATGCTATTTTCCTCCAAAGTCCATATTTAACATTTATGTAAAATTTACTTATTTATTGTTTGTAGAGAATGTGAACTATGGATGTGGGAATTTTTGTCGGTTTCATTCACTGCTATATTCCTACTGCCTGATATAGAGAGCAGTGGTTCAATGAATATTTGTTGGATGAGTGAATTAATTAATCTATTAAATCGGGATAATATCGTTCACATAGTAGCACAGATTGTGAGGATTAACTGAGATAGTGATTATGGTATATCTAAATCACCATATAAGAATAAATTATGTCATTATAATTACTAGAGACCCAGTGCATGGATTCGTGCACCAGTGGGGTCCCTCTGCCTGGCCTGCGCCTTCTTGTAATTCGGGACCCCTCAGGAGATGTCAGAGCTGGTTTTGGCCTGATCCCCGCAGGCCAGGCTGAGGGACCCCACTGGTGCACGAGTCCATGCACCGGGCCTCTAGTATGCACATAAGATTTTTGGTTAATGTCTTCCAGCCCTCCCCCCTCCCCGCTACCCCCTTCCCTCTGAGATTCATCAGTCTGTTCCATGTTTCCATGCCTGTGTGTTGAGCATCTGCCCCCTGGTGGTCAGTGCACGTCATAGCTACCGGCCGGTTGGCCGGTCACTTAGGCTTTTATATAGAGAGATATTTTTTATGAATAATGAGTTGGAATTGAAGTACTTTATGATATCAGAGTTTCATATCTTAATGTAATTAAACCTATATAAAATAGCTCATGTCCCTGCTGGTGGTTCAGTTGACTGGAGTGTTATTCCATACACCAAAAAGGTTATGGGTTCCATTCATGGTCAGGGCACATACCTAGGCTGTGGGTTTGATCCCTGGTCAGGGCGTGTATGGGAGGCAACTGATAGATGTTCCTCAAATCGATGTTTTTCTCTTCCTCTCTCTCTAGATTCAATAATAACATCAGGTGAGGATTTTTTTTTAAAGTATCCTCTTTTAAAAAAAGGCTCACTTATTAACATACAAAATATTGAAAGAATGCCCTAACCGGTTTGGCTCAGTGGATAGAACGTCAGCCTGTGGACTGAAGGGTCCCAGGTTCGATTCCGGTCAAGGGCATGTACCTTGGTTGTGGGCACATCTCCAGTAGGGGGTGTGCAGGAGGCAGCTGATCGATGTTTCTCTCATCGATGTTTCTAACTCTCTATCCCTCTCCCTTCTTCTCTGTAAAAAACCAATAAAATATATTTTTAAAAAATATTGAAAGAATTCAAGGAGCATTGAGAAGAAATAAATTCATACAAAATCATAAAATTCTTTTTATTTTTTGGGGCTGCAAAAAGTTTTATTGCAGTGATTCTCAACCTTCCTAATGCCGTGACCCTTTAATACAGTTCCTCATGTTGTGGTGACCCCCAATTTCATTGTTACAAATTGAACATAATTAAAGCATAGTGATTAATCTCAAAAACAATATGTAATTATATATGTGTTTTCCCATGGTCTTAGGTGACCCCCAAAGGGGTCGCGATCCACAGGTTGAGAACCGCTGTTTTATTGTTTTCATTTGGTCCACAACTCCTTTTTGTTTTTAAAATATAGACAACTGCTTCTCATATGGCTATGATACAAATAAATTTCTTGGTGTTTATTTGGACTTGTGCTGTGTGCCACATGGATTAGAAGTAAAACTTGAAAGTATTTCAGTTGACTTTATTCATAATCAGATCATCTTTACTCTCAGTGTATATGGTGACTTTTCCAGAGCAAAGTCAAGGTACATGATTACAGTGCATGTGAAAAAATGACATCTTGACTCTAATGTATGACAAGCTCAGGGAGCCTCATGTTTATATACCATATACCAAAGATGCTGTTCATTATTCCCAAGGATCTAGCATATGGACACTAGTGACTAGTTGTACTTCCAGGACCTTATAATTCATTGAGTGCTTTAAATTCAGGATATGACATAACGTTATATGTGGTATTGCATAATAATATGCAATATTCATAATAATCTTGGGTGAGTATTCCTATTTTACAGCATTGAAGAGAATGAGGCTCAAAGGTTTGAAGTTACTTACCTAAAGGTATATACCTCGTAAGTGGTGTAGCTGGAATTCAGATCTAGAGTTGCATGACTCTATACTGCCATGTGTAGAAATAAAGTTTAATTAAGGTATAAGCAGACTTTACATTTGTCTCTTAGATTATTTGCTTTCTCTTAATGTAATATGCATATATAGTTTGAAAAGTCAGAATTCTAAAAACAGCATTCGCCTCTCCTGAACCCCCCTGATCCTATTTTTTAGAGGTAATCACTTTCAGATCTTTTTGTTTTATTTGTTGCTATATCCCTATTACCTGGAACAGTAGTTTCAACTGGGGGCGATTTGCTCTCCAGGGGACATTTGGCAATGTCTGGAGACATTTTGATTGTCATGACTGTAGGGGGTGCTACTGGCATTTAATGGGTAGAAGCCAGAGATGCTGTTAGACGTCCTGCAATGCATATAGGACAGTCCCCCCTACCCAACCACCTCCCAACAAATTGATCAGTCCATAATGTGCCAAGGTTGAGAAACCCTAACCTAGAACAGTGTCTGACATAACAGTAGATGCTCAATAAATACTTATTTAGCTGTTAATTTTTTTCCTGGTGTTTGTTTTCCTCTGTGTTACTAGAAAGCATACATATATATTTCTTGATTTTTTACTTTATAATTATGGAAAAGAGGATATAATTCTTAACCATATCTCTAACTCCCTCCTTCCCCAAACACACACCTTTCCGTTCTTTCATATCCTCTCTTTTTAACTAAAACATTGTAAATATTTGCTGAGCCATGGAGTGTATTTGATTACATTGACTTTAATGTACAAATGTTCTGTTTTCTCCAGAGCTAATAATAGGTATACAGTTAAACAACATCTTTTCAATTGTTAGTTTTGTTTTTTTAAAATATATTTTTATTGATTTCAGACAGGAAGGGAGAGAGAGACAGAAACATCAATGATGAAAGAGAATTATTGATTATCTGTCTCCTGAATGCCCCACACTGGGGGATCGAGCCTACAACCTAGGCATGTGCCCTGACCAGGAATTGAACTATGACCTCCTGGTTCATAGGTCAACACTCAACCACTGAGCCATGCCGGCCAGACTCAATTGTTAGTTTTTAATCTATCAATTAGTAATTTATTCCCAAACTCTCCAAAGGAGCTGAAAAACATTCTTCCTTTGATTGTTCCTGGTTTTGGATCCACCTGTTTTATCTTGAAGAAGTTCATCACAGAGCCTTTTGACCTGATCCAGTCTGGCTTGGTTGGACTCTAGGTTTACCATATAGCTTTAATCTTGGGCCTTTCTTTACCAATATCCTGGAATGCCCATCTCTAGTGTTGGGCCTTCTGTTTTTTATCAATCTCATCTTTCCCTTTCTCCTACTGGTGAAGAATATTTGCTAAAAACTTCCTTAGAAAGGGTAAGTGTGAGATACATTTCTGAGAACCTACATGCCTAGAAATGTCATTATACTCCCCTTCCACTGAGTTGGTAATTTGATTGGGTATAGAAATCTAGTGTGGAAATCATTTTCCCTCAGAATTTTGAAAACATTCCTCCATTTTTTAAACACCCATATATTGCTATTGTGAAATCTGGTCCTATTCTAATTGGCAAGTCTTTGCTTTTTCTCACTCTGAAAAAAATTCTTTAGATTCTTCTCTTCCTTTCAAATGTTCTATAATTTCAAGATTACATGCCACACTGTGGTCTTTGTTTTATTCATTGAATCTGGAAACTCATTTAGTTCTAGGAATTTTTCTTGTATTTCTTTGAGTTTCTCCTCTCTGATTCATTTTCTTTTTCTGAAATTCCTGTTATTTATATGTGGATGTCTTAGACTGATTCTTTTATCTTTCTCTTTTCTCTACTTTCTGAGAGAATATCTCAACGTTATGTTACAATAAATCCACTGAATTTAAAATTTTTTCTATTTTAATTTCCAAAAGACCTTGACACTTTCCTACCTAATAGAACTACTATTTGAGGAAAAGTCTTTGGGACAGTTCAGTCCATCAATATATACTGAATTTTTGAGAGAAGCAACACTATAAAAGCACTCAGGCTTTACGGTTTTCATTAAATTAAGCATTTATCAATTATAAAAGGGCACTTTCTTTTGCTTTTGCATTATCTCTTTTGTCTGAGTTCCTTTCTTCTTACTTAAATGTATTTGTTAAATTATAGAGACTTCCTCAAATATCTCAGGATCTGTGTTGCTGATTTTCTAAAATGACTGGAAACCCAGTATGAGTGAGTTAGGGCTGTTATTTGGTGGGCTTCCCGGTAGGATAATGTGGCCTGGACCTGACCATTTCATTGTGGGAATACCTCAATATCTGTAGGTTAGTATCTGTATTTTTCCCCTTTGGTCTAGTCAGCTTTCTTAGAGTTCCTCTAATTTCCTGCCTTGATGAAGCTGACTGGGAGCGAGGTTGGGGAGTGGTCACCATTTTCAGGATGCAGATTACCCCTTAGTCCTAATTTTAATGATGATCACTCTGGCCTCAACTGCATTTGGTGTCTAAGTTTAGAACATCTCTGGTCTATTGTCTTTACATAATAAAATTTATTATCCTT